GTAGAGGGACTCAGACCAGCCAAGTTATGGTTTCGTTGTGGAAAGATGGAATAGGATATTTCCAGTCTGTTCATGTGTATTTTGGCTGCGGTCCTGCCTCTCCAGACTAACATGGGAGGCCTTGAGGCAATAACTGAACTGAAGTAGAGCACATTGCTCCAGCCAATTTATACTGTGCATCATTTTGGCTGAGATCTAAACCCCTTGTGTTAAAAGGCCCTTCTGTCATGGTCCTCAGCCCAAGAGACTGGCATCAGTAGGAACCAGGATTTTGGGAGGAATTTTTGAGGTGAGCCCTCTTCATCAGATGAAATATCATTCTTTAGTAAGCAAGAAAGGCCCTGAGGCTGTTAGGAATTGTGGGAGTTGAAGTCCAAAACACCTGGAGGGCTGTATTTCGCCCATGCCAGCCTTAGAAGAATACAGCAAATATCAAAAAGGCAGGTTGAGTTTCCAGTCTTCTCTCAACCAAAGGAAACTTAACCTCTTTGTACTTCCCTAAGTCAAACATACAGTCAAATTGTACGTTGTTGTTTTTTTAAAAAAAGATGAGGAATGAACCAAGGTGATAGGAGATGCAATTATATTTGTTGTTTATTCATTCAGTTTCTTCTGATTCTTTGTGACCTTGTGGACCAGCCCACACCAGACCTCCCTGTTGGCCATAGCCACCCCAGGCCCATCAAGGTCAAGTCAGTCACTTCAAGGATACCATCCATCCATCTTGCCTTCGATTGGCCCCTCTTCCTTTTTCCTTCCATTTTCCCCAGCATCATTATCTTCTCCAAGCTTTCCTGTCTTCTCATTATGTGGCCAAAATACTTCATCTCTGCCTCTAATATCCCTTCCTCCAATGAGTAGTCGGGTGTTATTTCCTTTACCAGTTATCAATCAGTCCGGTTGCCAGAATCTTGGGGTTTTTTTTAATGTTTAACTGCTACCCATCTTTTGCACTTTCTTCTTTCACTTTGATTAGAAGGCTCCTCAGCTCCTCCTTGCTTTCAGCCATCAAAGTGGTATCATCTGCATATCTAAGGTTGTTAATGTTTCTTCCAGCAATTTTAACTCCAGACTTGGATTAATCAAGCCCCGCACATCTCATGATGTGTTCTGCATACAAGTTGAATAAGTAGGGTGAGAGTATACAGCCCAGCCGTACTCCTTTACCAACCTTGAACCGGTCTGTTGTTCCGTGATCTGTTCTTACTGTTGCTACTTGGTCATTATACAAATTTCTCAGGAGACAGACAAGGTGACTTGGTAACCCCATACCACCAAGAACTTGCCATAATTTATTATAATCCACAGAGTCAGAGGCTTTAGAATTATACTATGATGCTTAAAGAATGTGATGTGATATTACAAAGATATAGCTATGAGTGTCTGCAAGAGGCTTCCACCAATGTAATGTTGTGCTAACAGATTTTCTCTATACCAAAGAAAGAAAAATTGTCAAGCAGTAAGTGACATAAAAACACTATCATAACACAGTGTGATTTTTTTCTCCCCACCATTTATCTCCTGTGAAAAACAATGAAGAATACAAGAATGCCTTTGGGGCTAAACTGGTTCTTTGGTGCCCTCTTGTGTGTTAAAAAGGAACAGATACATTTCTTGGCTTGTCATTGCCTTGCCTTCCCTGTTAAGCCTGGATAACCAGTTTGTATGAGCCATACATACCTTAAATTGTCACATTGTAAGTTGGTAAAGAGCTTACAGGAATGTTCTAGGTATGTCAGGCCTCAAACTTTATTGGATGTATTCTGAGTTGCTTTGTTGACTTTGGCATGTTTGTACTGAAAATTTAAATATATATATTTAGGAAGCAGATAGGAAGAGCCAGGCTTTGAAGCTGCAAGGCCATTCAATGCTGATCAAGCTGGCCAATTGCACCATTCACACTTGCCTCAAACAGACAGGAGTTCTCAAACCCTGGACATTCCACAGATATATAAACATTAGGGCTGGGCGGTTTCGTTTCGTTAATTCGTAATTCGTTAATAATTCGTTAATTTTTTCAATTACAAAACGATAACGAACCATTCTGGAGCAATTATTAAAAAAAACGAATTTTCAAAAACGTTTTGTAAATGCTTCGTATTTCGATATTGTATTCGTTTCGTTATTGTTTTGAGGTCGTTTCGTTATTATTTCCGCATGTCTGGGCCAGTTTTATGGTTTATATTATAAAATTATAATATCACACCAACAGGCAACAACAGAGGGAGAGGGAAGCTTCAGAAGGTTTTGGAGGTTTTTTAGCGTATTTCGCGGTCGCGTCCGCCATTAACGAATCGATTCGTTATTGTTTCGGAAATCGATTCGTTAATTTTTTACCATTTACGAAATTTCGTAAATATCGAACTTTTTAAAAGGAAAATTTTGTAATTATTTTAAATAATGAAACGCAAAAACCCCAAATACAAATCGATTTTAGAAACAAATTTTTCCGTTGTTACCCAGGCCTAATAAACATCACTTGCCTATTTTCCAACAGACCTCACAACTTTGGGATGCCTGCCATAGATGTGGACAAAACATCAGGGGAGAATGCTTCTGGAGAATGGCCATACAGTCTGGAAAACTCACAGCAACCCAGTAAGATAGATAGATAGTGACAAGGATATCCCCTTTCCACTATTGCTGTTTCCTTGTTGGGATATTGTTTTACCCCAACCAATAAAAAGACAATTAGGACAAAATCTTCCATTCTAGTTTTTTACAGTGAAGCAGGAGTTGGTTCCACTTTGGAGACATAGTAGAATTCCTATTAAGATCAGAAAAAAAGTAAATCAAATCCTCAATAAGCTGAAATTGACACTGTGATCTGAATATTTTCCAGAATTCAATGCAAGTTATTATCTAGGTACAGGGGAAAATAAAGAACAGAAGAAATAACTGTCTGATGCATAATAAGACTGTTTTTAAAACTCTGGAAATAAGCTGTGGTTAACATCTGTTATGACTTTGAACCTAGCTTTCATTATTTCTGAGTGCAAAGAGGAGGTAGGTGGATGGGGCACTCAAATGTAGCCCATTTGTTATGCCGCCCCTTCATTTTCCTGCTTGCTGCTTCTTGGCACCATAGAGGATATGCCCTCCCGTTTGGCATTATCCCTTTCTCTTCAGCTGTTTTTCCTCACTGGAAGTGTCAAGCTTGTACCCATTAGCTGGGTCAGATGATGAATACGAAATTGTACAATGAATGTTTTCCTGTGAATAGATTGAAAAGGGGGCACTTACTTTGGAACCTTGGTTGACAGCTCACCGCACACTTAGCTTCGGCTCTTCCTCATTCAAAATGTGGCACCTGTACAAGCCCCTCCCTCTTCTCTGCCATCTCCCAAATCTTTCGGTTCTGGGCCACATGCAGCATGCAAATCAAGGACCTAACGCCTGCCTGTATCTCCTTTGAACCTGAGACTATTAACACAGAAGGTAATCAGAGTTGAGAGCCAGCTGTAGGGAAGTTCGGGTAACAAAATAAGGGATGCAGATACAAGATGGATCGCAATTAGATTGCCACCTGCTTTGTAGCTTTAATCTGCACCCCTAAAGTCCATTTGTTTTCAAGGGGTTGTTGGCAAAGGAACAAATGGGGCATTAGAATCTCTTTGGAGGAATTATGAACAGCATGGTGTTAATGCCAACTGTATGCTCAGGCCCCTTACGGGGTTCTGGACTCAGTGAGTCACTGTTAACTTTCTATAGCACTTTTGATGTGCTTCAGGATTAATGGGAAATGTTGCAATCATTTTACAAGTAGGCAACAGAGGCAATTTTATGATTTATACCAGGCATCCTCAAACTCTGGCCCTCCAGCTGTTTGGGCCTCCAACTCCCAGAAGCTTGTTCAATTGTCAGGAATTCTGGGAGTTGAAGGCCCAAACAGTTGGAGGGCCTCAGTTTGAGGATGCCTGATTTATACTAAGATAACCTGTCACTACTAGGGTTGGATAGGTTCGTTCAGAAGAGCCTTAAAGTCGTTAAAAATCTTCCAACTTTTGACTTCTGAAGCAGTTTTTAACCATGCAGGAAAGGTAGGAGGAGCAAACCCAAATTTGAACCACTTATCTTTCTTTTTTTTCTTTTTCTTTTTTTGGAAATATTCCATAATGTTGGGATGTCTCTCAAAGTTATTTTATTCTTTCCTTCTCCGCTTTCCCTCCTCTTCTTGTCCCTCTTTCTCGGCTTGTGCTGGGCGAGGGACAAGAAGAGGGAAAGCGGAGGAGGAAATTCCTTCCTTCTCTGCTTTCCCTCCTCTTCTTGTCCCCCTCCCTCCTAGTATGTATTATACCTTAACAGTTTTAACTCTTAAATTCCCACTGTAGTTGACTCATTCATAGCACATTTATATTTTTGGAGAATTCCAAATTCCTATTTTTAGGCCACTGACACATGCAGGTGTTTTTAATTTCATCTCAAATAGCTTCCTCTTCTCACTTGAGTTTGGGAATTGTTGCTCTGCTGTGATGCTTGTGTTCATGGCTACATCATGGTTTTATATTGCCATGCTACATTTTTACATACACCTGTCTAAGGAATGCCAGATACCAAAAGATTTAAAAGGAGGTCAGTCACTGGAGGCATTCAGCATTTGCTAATCCTTAAGTTTATTTATACATATAAAGACTGAATGGAGCCCTTGGTGGCACAGCAGGTTAAACCGCTGAGCTGCTGAACTTTCTGGCTGAAAGGTCAGCAGTTCGAATCTGAGGAGTGGGGTGAGCTCCAGCTGTTAGCCTCAGCTTCTGCCAACATAGCAGTCTGAAAACATGCAAATGCGAGTAGATCACTGGGTACTGCTGCGGTGGGAAGGTAATGGCGCTCCATGCAGTCATGCTGGCCACATAACCCTGGAGTTGTCTACGGACAATGCCGGCTCTTCAACTTAGAAATGCAGATGATCACCATTCCCCAGAGTTGGACTGACTAGACTTAATATTAAGGAGAAAACTTTACCTTTATAACTATAATTTATAATTTAAAACACATTTGAGTTTGGGAAACTGCTATATTTATTTACATCTGCTTGATTACACTGTTCAGAATAAGTTCAGCAATCAAAACCATTTTGATTGATTAAAAAAATTACATTCCTATGTATGAGAGTACATACATAGTGTTGCTACGTATGGGGATACACAGATACAGCTTGCTCTTTGTTGTCTGTGCAGGATTTAATGATACAGTCCAAGACTGAAAGAGCTCTGTGTGCATACAGAGAATGCACAGACTGGGCCGGTGACATCCATCAAAGAAGCATATTCCATTACAGAATAAATGCAGCTCATCTCACATCAATGGCTCAGCATTGGCTACATGCATGCTAATTAATTGACTTTACTATATTTACATAAAATAGAGACATTAGTTACAAGCACCTGGTTCCTGATCCGTTTGCAAGGTAGTCCTTTTTGGCAAGAGAATCTTCAGCACTAAAGCACTTTTAATACACAGGATGTAAAGATCCAAGCCTCATTGGCTTGAGTTCGGTTTAAATGTTAATGAAACACTGTTGATGCAGAACCGCTGCCCAGATGGCTTGGGACCATCACCGAACACATGGCCCAGATGGGCATCACACTGCAAGAGATGAACAGACTTGAATATGCTGCGTTCCTTAAATTAAAGCATATCTACATGAATTATACAGATTGATTTCATAGCTGAAGGGGCCAATTAAATTAACAACTGCCATTTAAGGAATCCCTTCTGTTTTTAAGTACTTGCTTCCAATACTCATCCATTCTAACCCCCCACGTCTGTGAGTATGCAAACACTCCAGAGTAAAAAGAGAACCTCTCCCTAGCTAAACCTTTTTCTATGAAGTTTTCTTGTGTCAGGTATTTTTCTCACCGTAGACATCATTTCCGACTCTCTTCATAAATGGAGGCATGAGGAATGCCCTCACTCTTATGTACCAGCAACCCACTGTTAAATTCCAAGTGAGTAAGCACCCAAGAAGCATGAAGCATCAAATTACAGTCCCATCAATCATCATATTTACATGGGGGAAAGTATGTTGTTTTTGATGAGATGCCCACTTAAATGTGCTTAAGCTTGCACTGCACTTTTATTCCTAGCTAATGTGAGGTAAATCTTACAATGCAAAGACATTCACTCCAAGGGAAGCATGGAGAGAATAGAAACTATATTGCATTATTATTCTGATACAGTATACAAACAACCCATCGGATCTCTGTGTGAACACAAAGATGAATTCACCCAGTTGGAAATCAAAGAAATGGCAATACTGCAAGATGGCAGCAAACTTAGTACAAGACCTATATTCAAGTATCTTTTATGCTTCTTTCAAAGCAAACACTGTATACCTGTTTGCAAATGACTTCTGTCCGGCTTAATCCTGATGAATTATCAGGCCGTCTCAGGATATTAGTATTGCTTTCATCTGTTCCATGTGTCCCATAGGCTTCTGAAAAGGAGGGCCAACCTGTGCCGGAATCATACTTTGCTTCTGATCTATTAAGGATAGTAAAGTAGAATATTAATGAAGAATAACAATAAACGTATTTCCGTATATATTCGAGTATAAGTCGAGGTTTTCAACCCTTTTTAGGCTGAAAAAGCCCCCCTCGGCTTATACTCGAGTCAAAGTTACTTATTATTTTATTCTGTTGTTGTTGTTGTTACATTTATTATTTTACTCTATTATTATTATTATTATTACATTTACATTATTTTACTCTATTATTTTATTATATTTATTATGTTACTCTATTTGTTATTATTATTACATCAATTATTTTACTATATTATTATTATTATTACATTTATTATTTTACTCTATTATTACTGTTCTTATTACATTTCCATTATTTCACTTTATTATTATTATTATTATTATTACATTTATTATTTTATTCTATTATTACTGGAAAGATACGTAAGCACTTTTACATTGAAGGAGGTTAGAATAAGGGTTTAATCAGAGTTAGACAGTCATATCTTAAATTGCAGATTTATGTAAATATTCAAAAACATTTAACCTACTGATGCCTCAATTAATGTAATTTTATTGGTATCTATTTTTGTTTTGAAATTTACCAGGAGATGCTGCATTTCCCACCTTGGGCTTATACTCAAGTCAATACGGTATTTTAATTGTTCATTATATGGTTTTTAATTAAAATAAACCCCTTTTCTGTGAGCTGGAAGCTTAGGAAAGTGTGATATTTTAATGCAAAAAAGGTTAACCCCCTACACATTATTGGGGGATTCATTCCCCTGAACACTGCTTTCCACCGAAGGCCAGAAAACTTAAAACAGCATTCCCAGAATTCTGTGCAACTTGATCCTTCTGAATTTTCATATGGAGCCTTTATTGTGGAAGATATATATATATGTGTGTGTGTACACATACATAAGCTTTGGATAGCATAGGTTAACCCCCACATCCCACCCCACCCCGGTTTTTGTTTTGCTGTCTGTGTCCGTGATCAGAAGACTTGACCTCAATTTCTGTCTCTGCGAGAATTGAATTTTGAGAAAAATGGCTTGTTGTGGAAGGAAGGATTGTTGATAAAGCTTCAACAGAGATACATTTTCCCCATGAAAACTCTTTCAGGAGTGAATTTCCCTTCTTAGGGGTAGATTTCTCTCTTAAGTCATTTGTAAGTCAGATGTTTGTAACTCATGGACTGCCTGCAATTTAATATTGTTTTTGTTTTTTAAAAACTCATTTCCAACTTTTTTTGTGGAAAAGTAAATGATGTATTGCAATAGGGTGCCATTAAAAAGCAAAATAAATCATCATTTTGCTTAGGATTTATTCCAGGAACCAAGTCATGCACCTGTTAACGGGCATGTTAATCTATAAACTAGCTGAGCCATAGTCCTTTATTTATGTTTATTAGCTGAAATCGATAATGCTGATTCATTGCAAATTTCTTCCATTTAGGGATTAGGATTGTATTTATGCAAACAAACATTTATATATAGGCTGGTGGTACACTTTAAAAAGTACCTGTTCTGATTTACATATTCATTCACCTTAAGCCCAAATCTATTAAAGGGCCTGTATTGCTCTTGAAAGAATGTAGTTTTTTAAAGGTGTACTGGGAAAAGTTCTTCTGCAACATTTCAGATTCAGTGCTCTTTAGAGACACCTAGTGGAGGGCAAAAAGCAGACAACCACAGTTAAGGCAATCTTGCCCAACACTTAAAATAGCCTTATATTGAAAGGGAAAGAAACCCCTCATAATCAGAAGCTTTCAAGCATTCAATAATAATGAAAAAAACCTGGATTTTCTGTTAAAACTATCCTTTAAAACAGTTATTAGGAAGTGCAGGATGCATATTCCTGCATGGAAGGGGATTAGATTAGATGTCCCTTGTGGTCTATTCCAACTCTTTGCTTTTAAGTGAAGAAGAAATTCATAGAATCATAGAGTTGGAAGAAACCTCATGGGCCATCCAGTCCAACCTCCTGCCAATAAGCAGGACAATAGCGTTCAAAGCACCCCCAACAGAATGCCATCCAGCCTCTGTTTAAAAGCCTCCATAGATGAAGCCACTACCACACTTTGAGATAGTGAGTTCCACTGCTGAACAGCTCTCATAGTCAGGAAGTTCTTCCTAATGTTCAGGTGGAATCTCCTTTTCTATAGTTTGAAGCCACTGCTCCACATTCTAGTCTCCAAGTCAGCAGAAAACATTCTTGCTCCCTCCTCCCTATGTCTTCCCCTCTCATATTTATACATAGCTATCTCTTCTGCAGGCTAAACATGCCCAGCTCTTTAAGCCGCTCCTCATAGGGCTTGTTCTCCAGACCCTTGATCATTTTAGTCACCTTCCTTTAGATACATTCCAGCTTGTCAATATCTCTCTTCAATTGTGTTGCCCAGAATTGAACACAGTATTCCAGGTGTGGTCTGATCAAGGCGGAATAGAGGGGTAGCATGACTTCCCTGGATCTAGACACTATACTCCTATTAATGCAGACCAAAATCCCATTGGCTTTTTTAGCTGCAGCATCAGATTGTTGGTTCATGTTTAAATTGTTGTCCACAAGGACTCCAAGATCTTTTCAATCAAAATTTAAGTACTTAGAGCAGGCATGGGCAATCCAGGTGTTTTGAACTTCAACTCCCACAATTCCTAACAGTCTCGGGCCCTTTCCTTTTCCCCCTCAGCCACTTAAGTTCTGTCCTGTTCACATTTAAAATATATGGTAGGATGTCTGGAAAAGAACACCCAAAAAAGGAGTGGCATTTGGACTGGAACTCTGGAGTCTGATTTAGATTAGGCTTGGTTGTATTTTAATATTTTCATGAATATTTTTAACTTTGTTGTTTTATCAAATATTAATCTGTTTTGTACTGTTGTTATCTGTTGCTGTTGGCATCTAATAGTTGCCAGTTATAAGCCTCCCTGAGCACTCCCCCGCCCCCCGGGAGTTGAGAAGGATGGGATATAAATGTTTGAAATAATAAATAATAATAATAAATGTGACTACCTCCTGGCATTCAGTGGCTTTTACAGATATTTTCTTCTACTTCAGCTCACTTTGAGTTTCAAAACAGAGTTGGCAAAAAATACTTAAAGCAACAACATGAATTCAGAAGGTAGTTGGGTAGGTAGAGGGCTGGGCTTTAGCACAGCAGTTTAACCACTACCTGCAATACATCTTGCCAACGGAAAGGTTGACAGTTCAAAGCCTGGGTCAGGGTGAGCTCCCGACCTTAGCCCAGTTCGAAAACATATGTGAGTAGAAAAATAGGTACCACATTAAAGTGGGAAGGTATTTAGGCATGGTGTTTTGATCAGAAAAAGAAGTTTACGAACAATGAAAGCTCTTCAGCAGGGAGATGGAGCGAAGGCACCTCCCCCCGCCCAGGTGGCCGGAACTGAGCACAGTCTCCAAGATGCCGAAAGATGGGAAAGCCTATATAATACCTCTATCTGTTGTCTGTCTTATCGTTGTATAGTCGGCATTGAATGTTTGCCGTATATGTTCTGCAATGTGCCTGAGTCCCTTTCAGGGTGAGAAGGGTGGAATATAAATAAACAAACAAACAAACAAATAAATCAAGAGAGATTTACCCTGACTAGACTATGCAGTGACTCTATATTATTCAAGAATGGGGCAGACATGTGGACTGCTCCTCATGATGTCTTGCTTGGCCCCAAGAGGAGATGCCACATCACAGTTATGTATGTATTGAAAATATGTCATGCAAAGAAGCAGTTATGTAGGGACATCACTGTATGAGGGCCAACACAATTATACTTTCTCATCCCATTGACTGTGGTTCTTTTTTTGAATGGGTACTTACAATTACCTCATTCACTGTCTCTTCTGCATTAACTCTATGCTTGTTGGCCAAACCCTCTATCAATTTTCCATCCTATTAAAATAGCTCTCCACCACAACTGTCCTTCTGCGGTTTATTTATAGATACATCGCTTAGATTTTTTTGCTAGAAACATTTTAGGAGCCACCAAAATACTGCTGTTCAACATTCTGTTTGTCCTTTGAAGTAGTTCACCAGAGCATTTATAGATAATGGACATTCCGCAAACATGTGCACTAGATTAGCTCTGAATACACCATACCTACAACATATGTTGTGTGCTTTGATCTCAGTTTTAGATGTCTTAAATGCAGCTGAGATAATTTTAAGAAGTTTGACCCTTGGTTATAATTTTATGACTGGACTGAAGTTCGATGTTCCATTAAAATCCTGTAATTTGCTATCAATAAAAAATGAGGCTGGTGTTCCATGTATTCCTAATCTTCAATGAGTGTTTTGTAGTAGAAAGCAACAAGCTACATATTCCAGAAACATTTTGCTCAGCAGAGACACTGATACTTGAACGGGCAGCCCTTGGGTTGGCTTCAGTTCACTGGTAAAACCACTACTGAACTGGATGAGATATATCATACCGGAAAGGTAAAGAATGAGCCTTCTTTAAAATATTAAACATCTACTTGCAAAGGTCTCCATGTATGTAACAATTAGCATCTTGTCCTAGGGCCAGAAATACAAAAAATAGTTTGGAAGAGAGATAACTGGATTTGTTTTCTGCTGCACAGAATTCAAAATGCACTAACTGGTAGACATGTGGATTTGTATAGAATCACTATCCGTTTTGGTTTGTTTAATTCATAAGGCCCCATTTTCGTTTTCGAGTGCTTCTCCCAAAAATGTGCACCTTTCCGAATGAGCTTTATCATTCCTGATCCAAAATAACAAAAAAATTTGGACCATTGCCCAACATGGGCGGGCTTCCCAGGCTTACCTTCCTCTCAGTTTTAGGGCTAGAGAGGTGAAAATCCGCCTATCGGCCCAACAGACAGGGCTCAGAGGTAAATAAATAGCACAAGGCAATACTCAGTGGTTGTGTGAGGAGCACTACATGGCCCGAAAATAAGGTGAATAGATGATAACCATTCACGCTTTCTTTTGTTTCGGGCCTATTTCAGTACTGTAGGGGACTTACCGTTTCATGCAAAACAAATAAAACAAAAGGAACTCTATTCTAGTGTCTGGTGGGATTATGCGAGCTGTTGCTCAAAACATCTCAAAAGGGATTTGACATTAAAGACAAACTCATAAAGGGTTTGGGACAAACTCATAAAGATCGACAATAAATTGATAAAAAGACTTTATCAACAATTATTACAATGGGCAACAGAAACAGAGCAAATTAAAGAAGTCATGATTAAATGGGCAAAGGTAATTGGTCATACAATTGGGTTAGAGAAATGGGAAGAAATCTGGACTAAAAAACTGAAATACACTTATGCTGTAGAAATTAAAGAAAACTGGTATAAGATGTTCTATATGTGGTATTTAACCCCAGAGAAGATATCTAAATACAGCAAGGGGAAAATTAGCAAGAATTGTTGGAGATGCAAGAAGCATATAGGTTCTTTTATACACACGTGATGGGAATGCAAGATAGTCAAAAAGTTTTGGTATGAAATATATAAAAAAATAGAAGAAATTTTGCAAATAAAGTTTGAATTTAAACTCAAGTATTTCTTGCTGGGTATTACAGATTTCCAATTGAATAAAAATGGAGTTTTTTTTTAATTTTACCACAGAAGCTAGAATATGTCTTGGAAGACAGAAGAAACAGCAACATTAGGAAACTGGATTGAAAAAATGATGAAGATTATGAATATGGACCTTTTAACTCAAAAAAGTTCAAATTCAAACAGAACGGATTGGAGCAGCTTTACTAAATTTCTGAAAAAAGAACAATTACAAATGATTATAAACATAGGATAAAGAAATATTTCGGTTAAAATTGTGGATTCACGTAAGGTGACTTTTTTAAAAATAGGAAACGGTGGGAAAAAATGTTATTTAATACCACAGGAAGCGATCTGGAAGGGCCAATGGTAAATTGATAAATGTATGTCTGTAAGGTAATTGTATTTCCCCCCCCTTCCCTCGCTGTTATTCTTTCTAATCTTTATACTTTACACTTCGGATGTTCTCCTACTTTCACTGTATTAAAATCAACATCTTAGGAATGTATATGATATTTTAATTATTCATGTGTACAAAGTTTTTTTTTTGTTCAATGTCTTTTATGTTACTCATCAATAAAAATCAACATGAAAAAAACCATGTCAAAACCAGATTTCAGGCTGGTTTTAAATCATTTTAAGTCCAGTGATTTGAGTGTTGGACTAAAACTCAAGGAATCCAGGATTCGACTCTGCTCAGTCATGGAAACCCACTGGATGCACTGAACCTAATGCAATATTGCCAAGAAAACCCTATGATAGGGTCACTGTAAATTACTATCTATATAAATAAAATGTAATGTTCATTTGTGGGATTAACAGAGCTCCAAAACCACTGGAAGAATCGACACCAAATTTGGACACAACACACCTAACAACCCAATGTATGTCCTTCACTCATAAAAACACTGAAAAACACAGCAGAAGGGACTTAAAAAGCCCCCAAAAGCTAAATGATGAAAAGCTAAATGACTATACAGAAAAAAGAAAGAAAGAAAGAAAAAAAGAAAGAAAGAAAGAAAGAAAGAAAGAAAGAAAGAAAGAAAGAAAGAAAGAAAAGAAAAGAGGGACGGAAAGAAACAAGGAAAGGGAGAAGGAAGCATGGAAGCAAAGAGAGAAAGAAAGAAAGAAAGAAAGAAAGGAAAAAGGGAGGGAAGGAAAGAAAGAAGGAAAGGGAGAAGGAAGCATGGAAGCAAAGAGAGAAGGAAGGAAAGAAGGAGAGAAGGAAGAAAGGAGAGAAAGAGGGAGGGAAAGAAAAAGGGGGGAAGGAAAGTTAGAGAAGGAAGGAAGAGGAAGGAAAGAAGAAAGGGAAAGAAGGGGGAAGATGTGAGAGAGAGAGAGAGAGAGAGAGAAGGAAAGAAGGAAAGGAAGAAGGAAGAATGGAAGCAAAGAGAGAAGGAAGGAAAGAGGTAGAGAAGGAAGAAAGGAGAGAAAGAGGGAGGGAAAAAAAGGGACGGAAGGAAGGAAAGTTAGAGAAGGAAGGAATTAGTGAAGGAAAGAAAGAAAGAGCGAAAGAAGGGGGAAGATGTAGAGAGAGGAGGGAGGGAAAGAAGGAAAGGAAGAAGGAAGCATGGAAGCAAAGAGAGAAGGAAGGAAAGAGGTAGAGAAGGAAGAAAGGAGAGAAAGAGGGAGGGAAAGAAAAAGGGGGAAGGAAGGAAAGTTAGAGAAGGAAGGAATGAGTGAAGGAAAGAAAGAAAGAGCGAAAGAAGGGGGAAGATGTAGAGAGAGAGAGAGAGAGAAGGAAAGAAGGAAAGGAAGAAGGAAGAATGGAAGCAAAGAGAGAAAGAAGGAAAGAGGTAGAGAAGGAAGAAAGGAGAGAAAGAGGGAGGGAAAGAAAAAGGGAAGGAAGGAAAGTTAGAGAAGGAAGGAAGGAGAGAAGGAAAGAAAAAAGGGAAAGAAGGAAGGAAAGGGAGAAAAAGAAAAGAAAAGGGGAAAGAAGGAAGGAAAGGGAGAAGGAAGCACGGAAGCAAAGAGAGAAGAAAGGAAAGAAAGAAGTAGAGAAGGAAGAAAGGAGAGAAAGAGGGAGGGAAAGAAAAAGGGGAAGGAAGGAAAGTTAGAGAAGAAAGGAAGGAGAGAAGGAAAGAAAAAAGGGAAAGAAGGAAGAAAAGAAAGAGCGAAGGAAGGGGGAAGATGTAGAGAAAGAGGGAGGGAAGGAAAGAAGGAAAGGGAGAAGGAAGCATGGAAGCAAAGAGAGAAGGAAGGAAAGAGGTAGAGAAGGAAGGAAGGAGAGAAAGAGGGAGGGAAAGAAAAAGGGGGAAGGAAGGAAAGAGATAGAGAAGGAAGGAAAAAGAGAAGGAAAGACAGGAAGGAGGAAGGAAGGAAAGAGGGAGTGAAGGAAGGAGGGAAAGAAGGAGAGAAAGAGGGAAGGTTGGCCACAGCAATGTGGCGGGTACAGCTAGTAAGTTCCAAGTTTTAGGTCTCCCAATAAAATGCATTTTCAAACCTCATCATATGGCCTGAGCCCATTTAGTTAACCTACTTTACAGGGTTATTATTGGGATAAAATGGTGGGGATGGGGAACCATGTACTGCTTGGCCTTAGCGCCTCAAAAAAGAAAGATGTATCTAAATGTGATAGACATGCTTCCTACCTGAACAGTGGGGCATTGCAGCATACACAGTGGTACATCCCAGGCTCCGTGTTAGTCAGGTGGATTCCACTAAAAGGCTTGAAACATGTATGTTAATAATATTAATATTCTAGAGAGGAACTGAGTCTTCTGTTTACCATTTACCTTCTTTCACACCCTGAAATCCATTGACTTGAAATGCATAATACATCATTGACTTCAAAATGTCCTAAGTCAGCCAGGCTGCATTTTTGACCCATTTACTCATTCTGTTAAATGGAGCCTGGATGCATGGCCCAAAGTACTATTTGGATGGTACCATTTATTGAATTCCAACTTCATCTGTCATCTGGTCAAACTTGGTAAAGGTAAAGATTTCCCCATGAGGTTAGGTCTAGTTGTGTCCGACTCTGCGGGGTGGTGCTCATCTCCATTTCTAAACCGAAGAGCCAGCGTTGTGCATAGACACCTCCAAGGTCATGACTGCATGGAGCACCGTTACCTTCCTGCTGAAGCTGTACCTATTGATCTACTCACATTTGCATGTTTTTTAAATTGCTAGGTTGACAAAAGCTAGGGCTAACAAAGGGAGCTCACCCCGCTCCACAAATTTGAACCCTTTCGGTCAGCTATTTCAGCAGCTCAGCGGTTTAACCTGCTGCACTACCAGGGGCTCCCATCTGGACAAACTAGTATTTTGAAAAACACCCACAAGCAAGAGTTGCACAAAGCAAGATGCTGGAGGATGGTTTGACACCCTCCCATCCATGGCCTCCCTGCTTTATATATTCTGTTTGTGACACAACCACATATAAAAACACAGGTCTATCAGGGATGCATAAAGACTTCCCATAACAAACATCTCATAGTCACTAAGGTACTGGCAGCAATTTCACTGTATGGGCCTTTTATGCTACACAATTGTAGCATGATGATTCTACTCTTCATGGCTGCATCCTATTGAATAACGAGATATGTACTTTGGTGAGACATTTGTCAGAAATATTAAAAATTAACTGGGCATTTTTTATTACAAACGCGTGAGTCAAGCAATGAAAGAGTTAGTAGGCTGAAGCCTATTAGTGTTAGTGGGCCAAAGCTAGCGTCATCCAGAGGAGAGCGAGTAGGCCAAAGCCTGTTAGAGTTAGTGGGCCAAAGGTAGTGTCGTCCTGAGGAAAGCAAGAAGGCCAAAGCCTATTAGAGTTAGTGGTCCAAAGCTAGTGTCGTCCAGAAGAGAGTGAGTAGGTCAAAGCCTGTTAGTGGGCCAAAGCTAGAGTCATCCTCAGAAGAGCAAGTAGGCCAAAGCCTGATAGAGTTAATGGACCAAAGCTAGTGTCATCCTGAGGAGAGCAAGTAGGCCAAAGCTAGTGTTGCCCTGAGGAGAGCGAGTAAGCCGAAGCCTGTTCGAGTTAGTGGGCTAAAGCTAGTGTCATCCTGAGGAGAGCGAGTAGGCTGAAGCCTGTTAGAGTTAGTGGCCAAAGCTAGTGTCGTCCTGAGGAGAGCAAGTAGGCCGAAGTCTGTTAGAGTTAGTGGCCAAAGCTAGTGTCGTCCTGAGGAGAGCGAGTAGGCCGAAATCTGTTAGCGTTAGTGGCCAAAGCTAGTGTCGTCCTGAGGAGAGCGAGTAGGTTGAAGCCTGTTAGAGTTAGTGGCCAAAGCTAGTGTCGTCCTGAGGAGAGCGAGTAGGCCAAAGTCTGTTAGAGTTAGTGGCCAAAGCTAGTGTCGTCCTGAGGAGAGTGAGTAGGCTGAAATCTGTTAGAGTTAGTGACCAAAGCTAGTGTCATCCTGAGGAGAGTGAGTAGGCCGAAGCCTGTTAGAATTAGTGGCCAAAGTTAGTGTCGTCCTGAGGACTCTGAGGGAAACCTGAGTATGAGAGAAACCTCAAGTGAGAAAGCTCCAGTGTGAAGGCTGCTACGTGTAAATCTACTATGTTTTTGTTTATCTGTGTTATGGAAGCCTATTCTTGTAAATAGTGCAACCATATTATTTTACTACAAAGAAAAGCCTCCTATGGAAGATATAACATCGGCCTGTATGTTTTTGTTCTTTTTATCACTTTAGGCTACTGGTGCTGGGCCACATCGCAGCTAATAAGTTACTCTGCTATAAGTTTATGAGGAGGGTCTTTTGTTAATAAGCCCACTTGCCCAACAACATTGTTCGCTTTGAGAAATCTAAACTGTTGGAAATAGCAACCTTCTTCAAGCCTCCACTAATAATTTGTTTGCATATGATTCTGTTTTGCTTATTTTATTATATATGTTTTGGTATGCAGCTTTCCCTTTACTCTTATGTTTTCTTGAGGTTGTGGGAGGGGCTACAGACCACATGATCAGATCAGAGGCTGCTCAGACCTGAGACTCCACTTTAGAGGACAGACTCCATTATACTCACTGAATGTAAAGATGTTGCTGTTTGATTTTAAGAAAAATGCCTTGTGTTATCTACACAGAAAAACTACTTCAAACCTATCTGTAAATGGATTGACAAATTATGTACCTGTATGCTAAATACATAGCATTTGTAAGCAAACCAAGTATGTTACTTTTAAACAAAGACTATTTATTTCTGTCTCTTGAGAGCATGATATATTTTATGGGATTTTTTTTGGGGCAACTGAAATAACACTTCCAAAGATCTGCTATATTTTTGTGCCTCGGCATAATCTTTGTTCCTAACAGTTCAAAGAGATAACCAGGTATATAAGTCTAACAGCGGACAAACCTAATTTGCCTTGCATGAATACTAGTGGATTTTGTTGTTGTTCCTTCGTTCAGTCGTCTCCGACTCTTCGTGACCTCATGGACCAGCCCACGCCAGAGCTCCCTGTCGGCCGTCACCACCCCCAGCTCCTTCAAGGTCAGTCCAGTCACTTCAAGGATGCCATCCATCCATCTTGCCCTTGGTCGGCCCCTCTTCCTTTTGCCTTCCACTTTCCCCAGCATAATTGTCTTCTCTAGGCTTTGCTGTCTCCTCATGATGTGGCCAAAGTACTTCAACTTTGTCTCTAGTATCCTTCCCTCCAATGAGCAGTCGGGCTTTATTTCCTGGAGGATGGACTGGTTGGATCTTCTCGCAGTCCAAGGCACTCTCAGAACTTTCCTCCAACACGACAGCTCAAAAGCATCTATCTTCCTTCGCTCAGCCTTCCCTAAGGTCCAGCTCTCACATCCGTAGGTGACTACAGGGAATACCATGGCTTTGACTAGGCGGATCTTTGTTGCCAGTCTGATGTCTCTACTCTTTATTATTTTATCGAGACTGGACATTGCTCTCCTCCCAAGAAGCGTCTTCTGATTTCCTGGCCACAGTCTGCGTCTGCAGTAATCTTTGCACCTAGAAATACAAAGTCTGTCACGGCCTCCACGTTTTCTCCCTCTATTTCCCAGTTGTCAATCATTCTTGTGGCCATAATCTTGGGTTTTTTGATGTTTAGCTGCAACCCAGCTTTTGCGCTTTCTTCTTTCACCTTGATTAGAAGGCTCCTCAGCTCCTCCTCGCTTTCGGCCATCAGAGTGGTGTCATCTGCATATCTGAGGTTGTTAATGTTTCTTCCAGCAATTTTCACCCCAGCTTTGATGCTCCTCAGGCCCTTTCCTTTTTCCCCTCAGCCACTTAAGCCTTAGGCTGTTAGGAATTATGGGAGTTGAAGTCCAAAACACCTAGAGTTTGCCCATACCTGTTTTAAACTTACGGCATTCTCAGTAGATGGTATATATGAAAACATAAGTCAAAGACTTCCCCAACTCATCACAGAATGGCTGAGGCTGAGCAGAAGCAATTCAGTGGTAACCCAAGGCTGTTAAATGGCCAACTGCAGCATAGTTCCGCCTATGGAAATTCTACTCTACTCTAAGCTACACAAGATAATGGCATAACATGATTTGTTCCAACATGTCTATATAGGGAAATATTTTCTATGTATATATAAATACATATATATTCACATTCATCCCCTATCTTTGGAAATTAAAACATGTTTTAGCTTACCAGTTCGGTTCCTTTTTCCCTGGTGACATAAAATTGCTCAGGGGTCAATTTCTTTTGCCAATTGGTATTATTTCTTGACTCATCATATCTTGTCAGAGAAGCTTGATCCTTACCTGGAAAGGCAGGAGAGCAAAGAATCTATCTGAATGTGATGAAATGCAACCAAGTCACCATATGTAGAACAGGTGTCTACATATAGCAAACTGCAGAAGAAGGAAAACAATAATTGCACCCAGAGCAAAGGGAGGAAAGGAGAGCGGAGACCTCCAATCACAGCTGACAGGGCATAGAAAGATGATAAGTTTGTAACAGATGCTAACAGAAGAGTTTCATTCTCTAGCAGGGGAATCTCAGTAGGAAATAGTCAAAGGCTGGTTTCCATGTAGGGGATATTTAATGGAGCCCTGGGGGTAATAAAAAAGTATTCAATGCAGTTACAGAACAAAAGCCATTCTGTAATTAAAATGATTTCAAACAGATATCCTGGCATATGAACATGTCTCTCCTTTCCCAGTGGCCCCATTCATCTTTCAACACAAGACAGCACTTTACCTCTTCTCCAAGCAACAAATTACCTGTAATTAATTTTGCCACCACCATCCAATAATGAAGGCATAACTAAGTTATTTTAGAGTTGTAATACAGCAAAGGCAAACTTCACTCCTTCTGCACCTGTACTGTCCTTTTAGTTGATTTTAGGTTACAGGATGTGGGTAAATGATGGCAAAGGAACATAAAGTTCTAATGCTGATTTGTGGTTGGACTCATGACCTGCCACAGGTGCTAATTAACTGGAATGGAAGAAAGTGTGTCTAGTAGCATAGGCCAGTGACTTTTCACATTTACGTTTTAAAAGTAACTGGAAATATCAATTTTAGTTCCCTTTTCAAAGGCTAACTATAGTTTTAAGGTAAAGGTAAAGGGTTCCACTTGACATTAAGTGTCGTGTCCAACTCTGGGGGTTGGTGCTCATCTCCATTTCTAAGCTAAAGAGCTGGCATTGTCTGTATACGCCTCCTAAGTCATGTGGCTGGCATGGCCACATGGAGCACCGTTACCTTTCTGCCAAAGCAGTAATTATTGATCTACTCACATTTGCATGTTTTCGAACTGCTAGGTTGGCAGGAGCTGGGGTTAACAGCGGGAGCTCACCCTGCTCTCCGGATTTCAACTGCCAGCCTTTCGGTCAGCATTTTCAGCAGCTCAGCAGTTTAACTCACTGTGCCACTGGGTTTATTATACTATGATATATAACTATAGTTTTAATAAACTGAAAAAGTAATGGCAACTACTGACACGGTTGTCAGAATTGTAATGGTATGTAATTGCCTTTAAAAGCAACTTTCTAAGCTCTGCCACATTCCACCCAACACTATAATGAGTTGAACCAGTTTAAGCATAACAAGGATCGGTAGCCAATCTGTTTGAGTATTTCACATTCCTGGCTTTATAAAACTGATGCATTGTATATATAAATGTTAGCCACCTTGAGTCCGCATGGGGAGAAAGGCAGGATATGAATAAAGATGATGATGATAATAATATACAATGGGCCCACTGGGGTTTAGTTGTAGGACTTCCCATGAATTCAAGTTTTTGGATGCTCAAGTACTATGACATACAATTATGTAGTAAAATGGCCTCCTTTATTTATTATTTTATTTATTTATTTCCAGCATTTCTACCCCGTCCTTCTCAACCCCTGAAGGGGGATTCAGGATGGCTTACGATGGCAGCAATTCGATGCCGACAACATACAAAATACATTACAACAATATTATGCAATAGATAAAACACTGATTAAAATACATTAAAACATTATTATTATTCGTCAAATAGCCAGATCCAACGACTCAGTCCAAAGCCTGTCCTTGTAAGAGTTCAAACACAGTAAATACTGCCAGACCTACTGTCCAAATGCCTGGTCCAGAACCATGTTTTCAGCTTCTTTCTAAAAGAGAGGAGGGATGAAGCCAACCTTATTTCGCCAGGGAAAGCATTCCACAGGCGGAGGGCCACCACTGAGAAGGCCCTGTCCCTCATCCCCACCAAACACACTTGTGAAGAGGGCAGTCCTCTTCACAATCTTAAATTCCAAGGTGGGACATAGAGGGAGATATGTTTGGACAGGTAAGCTAGGCCAGAACAGTGTATACAATGGCAAAATTAAGATTGCTTGCTATACATACATACATACATACATACATACATACATACACATATACATGGGGGCAGCTGTACATAAAATGGTCTGTAACAGCAATACCTCTTCAATTACTGAGGACTTAAATGAAAAATTCAAATGCCTGGGAAATGTTTAAAAGGCTTGCCTGTGAGCAAAATAATATCAGACTGCAGTCTTAGGAGCCATGGTGGCATGATGGGTTAAACCAGTGGCTCTCAACCTGTGGGTCCCCAGATGTTTAGGCCTTCAACTCCCAGAAATCCTAACAGCTGATAAACTGGTTAGGATTTCTGGGAGTTGTAGGCCAAAACACCTGAGGACCCACAAGTTGAGAACCACTAGGTTAAACCCATGTACTGCTGAACGGCTGAACTGTTGGCCTGAAGGTCGGCAGTTCAGTCCATGAGATGGGGTGAGCTCCCACCTGTTCGTTCCAGTTCCTGCCAACCTAACAGTTCAAAAAAATGTAATGTGAGTAGATAAATAGGTACCAATTAGGTAGGAAAAGGTAAAAAGATGTTCTAAGCAATCTTGCCAGTCACACAATCAGGAGATGACAATACAGACTCCTTGGCTTAAAAATGGATGGAGGAAAGCACCTTCCCAGAGTCAGCGATAAGCTGTTAGGAATTCTGGGAGTTGAAGTCCAAAACACGTGGAGGGCCCAAGTTTGCCCATGCCTGGTCTACACTGACCATATAATACAATTTCAAACTGCCAGTGTAGATGTGGCTAAGTCACAGAACAAAAACCTCAGCCTACTGACTCTGGAACTCACTCCTCAAGGACATCAGGCATGCCCCAACTTTGGCAATCTTTAGGAGGAGCCTGAAAACGTGGTTGTTCCAGTGTGCCTTCCCAGAATAAGGAAACTCCAAGCAATATGTCCCTAGGTAAAGGTAAAGGTAGTCCCCTGACATTGTCCAGTCATGTCTAACTCTGGGGTGTGGTGCTCATCTCCATTTCTAAGCCGAAGAGCCAGCGTTGTCTGTAGACACTTCCAAGGTCATGTGGCCGGCATGACTGCATGGAGCGCCGTTTCCTTCCCGCCAGAGCGGTACCTATTGATCTACTCACATTTGCATGTTTTCGAACTGCTAGGTTGGCAGAAGCTAGGGCTGACAGCGGAAGCTCACACTGCTCCCCGGAATCGAACCTGCGACCTTTCGATCAACAAGCTCAGCAGCTCAGTGCTTTAACCCACTGCGCCACCGGGGGCTCCCTATGTCCCCAATTGCACTTTATTAGTGATCTAGGACTCTCTGTACGCCCCATTCTTTTCCGAAATTTTATCCTAGTTATATTTCACCTGGTCTTGCTCAGCATTATTTTTTAAATTTTAATTATTACATTTGGCCCAGCCACAGGTTTTTAAATGTTATTGTTGATGTTTACTGCCTATTTTTTGTTTATGAGTTTTATTTTATTGTTTTGTATTATTATTGTTGTTGGTTTTGCTGATGTATTGTGGGCTCGGCCTCATGTAAGCCGTACCAAGTCCCTTGGGGAGATGGGTAGCGGGGTACAAATAAAGATTATTATTATTATTATTATTATTATTATTATTATTATTATTATTATGCACGAGAGTTATCTCCCTTTAAAAGAGGTCCGGCCTTAATAGTTCCAATTAACATATCAGAATAATTCCAACTAAGGTCTAATTAGTGTATCAAAGTAGTTCCTACTTAGTTCTTAACTACTGTGTCAGGACGAATTCCTAGTTACGTCTGCTATCAACTATTGACGCATACACATGGTGTCCACAGAGTCTTCTGTCTTTTGGGGGTAATTTCAAGGGGTTTCTAGCTCTGGTCAACATTTTCTTCCTCGGTGTTAATGTATTGATTTCGCCTACATCACTACGGCACCAGCAGGCATTTCCCACTCACCCACCCACCTCCCTTTCCCTTTTGCTCTTCCCTCCGGTCGCCCTGATCCGGCCCCGTTCAGCCCCAAAACCGCTACCGGTGTCGCCGGCTTTGGTCCCTCGAAAGGCCGGCCCAGCGCCCCCGAGGAGAGGCCCCGACTGCGGAAGAGCGATGAGCAGTGCCCGGGATCGCCCTCTGAGGCCAGGGAGCCTTTGGAGGAGCCGCACAGCCATCGCCAGCCCAGGGAAAACAGGAGGGGCAGCGGCGCCTCTTCCTCCCCCAGGAATCAAAGGCTATAGGAGCAGCAGCCAAACCCCGCCCTCCGCTTCCTCCTCCCGCCCTCCCTTCCTCCCTCCCGCCCTGGTCGGCTTATCTCTTCTAATCTGCCAGGCGCAGAGTGGGCAGAAGAGCAAACCACCGGCAGGGCTACAATGTAGCCTGAGCCCTGCCACATGCGCAGTGGAGGTCCTTCTTGCAGCCACATCAGAGGCTCTCCAAGTGGACAGCTTCTGGTCAAAGGACATTTAGTGTAATGCCAAGATTTTTTGTTGTTGTTTATTCGTTCAGTCACTTCCGACTCCTCCTGACCTCATGGACCAGCCCACGCCAGAACTCCCTGTCGGCCGTGGCCACCCCTAATAATAATAATAATAATAATAATAATAATAATAATAATAATAATAATAATAATAATAGTTACAGAAAAGGAACACATCAAATAATGAACATATCTAATAATAATAATAATAATAATAATAATAATAATAATAATAATGAAAAAACATGGCTGTGGCTCACAAATGGAACTTTGAAAAAGGAGACAGAGGGCCTGATTCCGGCAGCCCAAGAACAAGCCATTAGAACAAATGCCATCAAAGGGTTGTTGTAGGTTTTTCCGGGCTATATGGCCATGTTCTGGAGGCAATTTTTCTCCTGACGTTTCGCCTGTATCTATGGCAAGCATCCTCATAAACAGTGAGGTCTGTTGGAAGTAGGAAAATGGGTTTATATATTTATTTATTATTTATTTATTTCTTGCACTTATTAACCGCCACTCTCAGCCCTAGGGCGACTCGTGGCGGTGTACAACAACATAGAAAGACAGTTTACAATAAATCAAGACAATAAACACAATCTACTACTACATAACAACTACTTATACTAAAAATCCGCTTCGTCATATCCTGGGGTCATAATCAATCTCATAGTCACAGTCCATTCCGGTCGTCATTTCCAATAACATAGCACTCAGTTGAAGGCCAATTCGAAAAGCCATGTATCTGTGGAATGACCAGGATGAGACAAAGGACTTTTGTCTGCTGGGGCTAGCTGTGAATGTTTCAGCTGATCACCTTGATTTGCATTCAATGGCTTGGAAGTGCCTGGGGGGAATCTTTTGTTGAGAGTGATTTTATGTGCCTGTCAAAGCCAGGATTTAATAGTATGTTAGCTGGGTCCGGAAGCTCGGAGCATTACAGAGATGCCACATTGCTCCTTCGGGAGCGCTGTTTGCGCAAGAGAAACTTAGCTAATGTAAGCCAGGCTGAAGACAGAAAATATAGAAGGAATATAAGAGTTCTTTAATGGTGAAACCCTAACCCTTACCCCTACCCTAGCCCTGAACTGTACCGTAAGCCTAAGCCTAACCCCTAACCCAAACCCTTAGCCTAAGATCCTGACGCTAACCCAAACCCTAAACCTTACCCTTACCCTAACCATAACCCTTACCCTAACTGTAACCCAAACCCTAAACCTTGCCCTAACGCAGGGGTCCACAAACTTTTTAAACAGAGGGCCAGGTCACAGTCTCTCAAGGAGGGCCAGATTATAATTTGAAAAAAATGAATGAATTCCTATGCACACTGCATATATCTTATTTGTAGTGCAAAAATACTTAAAATGCAATAATTAAAATGATGAACCATTTTAACAAATATAAACTTACTAGTATTTCAATGGGAAGTGTGGGCCTGCTTTTGGCTGATGAGATAGCATTGTTGTTGTTGTTGTTGTTGTGTGCTTTCAAGTCGTTTCAGACTTAGGTTGACCCTGAGCGAGGGCCGGGTAAATGACCTTGGAGGGCCATATCTGGCCCCTGGGCCTTAGTTTGAGGACCCCTGCCTAACCCCTACCCTAAGCCAGTGGTTCTCAACTTGTGGGTCCCCAGGTGTTTTGGCCTACAACTCCCAGAAATCCCACCCAGTTTACCAGCTGTTAGGATTTCTGGGAGTTGAAGGGCAAAACATCTGGGGACCCACAAGTTGAGAACCACTGCCCTAGGCGTCCCCTCCTTTGTATCCTTCCTTCACTCTCCCTGCTCTCCACCCTGTCTCTTCCCTTATTCACAGCCCAGCATCTCCATAAAGCTCGGAGCTTCTGGACCCAGCTATCATACTATCACCCCAGCTCCTTCAGAGTCAAGCCAGTCACTTGAAAGATACCATCCATCCACCTTGCCCTTGGTCGGCCCCTCTTCCTTTTTCCTTCCATTTTCCCCAACATCATTATCTTCTCTAAACTTTCCTGTCTTCTCATGATGTGGCCAAAGTACTTCATCTTGGCCTCTAATATCCTTCCCTGCAATGAGCACTCGGGCTTTATTTCATGAAGTATGGACTGGTTGGATCTTCTGGTGGTCCAAGGCACTCTCAGAATTTTCCTCCAACACCACAGTTCAAAAGCATCTATCTTCCTTTGCTCAGCCTTCCTTATGGACCAGCTCTCACATCCATAGGTTACTACACGGAATACCATTGCTTTCACTATGTGGATCTTCGTTGCCAGTGTACTGTCTCTTCTCTTCACTGTTTTATCAAGATTGGCCATTGTTCTCCTCCCAAGAAGTAAGCGTCTCCTGATTTCCTGGCTACAGTCTGCATCTGCAGTAATCTTTGCACCTAGAAATACAAAGTCTGTCACTGCCGCCACGTTTTCTCCCCCTATTTGCCAGTTATCAATCAATCTGGTTGCCATAATCTCATTTTTTATGTTTAACTGCAACCTAGCTTTTGCACTTTCTTCTTTCACCTTGGTTAGAAAGCTCCTCAGCTCCTCCTCGCTTTCAGCCATCAAAGTGGTATCATCCGCATATTGAAGGTTGTTAATGTTCCTTCCTGCAATTGTAACTCCAGCCTTGGATTTGTCAAGCCCCACACATGGCATGATGTGTTCTGCATACAAATTGAATAGGTTGGGGGAGAGTATACAACCCTGCCATACGCCTTTCCTAACCTTGAACCAGTCTGTTGTTCCATGGTCAGTTCTTACTGTTGCTACTTGTTGCCAAGAATTTAACTTTGTGGGTTTTTATACATTATAACTGTGGCACACTGCATTAAACCACTGAGCTGCTGAACTTGCTGACCGAAAGGTCGCAGGTTCAAATCCGGGGAACAGCATGAGCTCCCACTATTAGCCCCAGCTTCTGCCAACCTAGCAGCTCAAAAACATACAAATATGAGTAGATCAATAGGTACCACTCTGGCGAGAAGGTAACGGCACCCCATGCAGTCATGCTGGCCACATGACCTTGGAGGTGTCTATGGACAACACCAGCTCTTTGGCTTAGAAATTGAGATGAGCACGAACCCCCAGAGTTGGACACACCTGGATTTAGTGTCGGGAAAACCTTTACCTTCTCAATTTGCTTCTGACTGGATAAATAAATACATGCCCATAATAATATGAGGGTCAGACACTAGCTAAAGCAGCCACCTCAGGTACTTTGAAATGGGAGTGGGAGTCTTTCCAGGCCTGAGCAAACTTCAGCCCTCCGGGTGTTTTGGACTTCAACTCCCACAATTCCCAACAGATGCTAGGGTGTTAGAAATTGTGGGAGTTGAAGTCCAAAGCACCAGGAGGGCCAAAGTTTGCCCAGACCTGGCTATAGTGTGAACTGAATCTAGAGAGCTATTCAGAGATGTAGGATCTCAGTTATCTTTGCCACTGCAACAGCTGTCCCAACCCACAGGCATATAAACTGGACCATCTATTTTGGAGAAGCTATACATCACCAGGATAAACTTTCTCCAGGGTCTATATTTCATACGCTGACTTTGTAATCAGGTGCATCAATTGGATGGCAGATTCATCATAACATATAGAATAATCCTGGGGTTCTGTAACCACAGCAGCCAAAATTACCTAAATATATAGCATCAATTTTGTCAATGGCACTTCATAGCAGATAACTCACTGAACACTGGTAAGTGTAATTGGAATCAATGTTAATACATCCTTTTGTAAAAAAAAATAAAAAATATAAAAAAAGCAAGGAGGTTAACAATAATATTTTAAATGAGAAGTGAGTTATGAAGATAACCATTGTGCTGGCCAAACCTATGTCTTCTCATGGAACAATTTAGCCCTACATTTTTTATATATATAGAAAAATGGCAATTGCATCATTCCCACTTGACATAAATCACTTGAGCACTAAGCATAGGTGCTAAGTTCAGTGGAAGTTGAAGGCACTCAGGAGATCAAATTATTAGACCCATCAATTGCTGTCTAATCTTGAGTCAAAGTTCATGAAAACTATGCAGTGAAAGAGGCCCAGCACTAAGTTTAATTAATGATTAAGTCTGATCGCTTCAGCACTCAGAGGGAGCATGCTGTTAATTATGGGTGTAATGATTTTATAGGATGTAGCAGGGGGTGGAGTGATTCTGCACTCTGCTTGCTACCGTTCCTGGAGAGACACTGATTGAACAAAACATGAAACAGAACAAGAATATAATTGCACGAGCTGGCAGGTATGAAACCAGCCAGCAGTCGGAATAATGTTATTTTAGTGCATGTTTAAGGAAATTAAATATGTATTGACTCTGATGTGGCTTATGTTACACATTAATGGTATTGTAAGGTTGGCTTCTTATTATTGCAATAATGGTATTGTATACCAGAGCTCCTTTGTTTGTAATCTGACATATTTTGAAAAAAATATCAGAATTGCTATATCTTTGTAGGTCTGCACAGAAATGCCACCTTGAAGACTTTTTTTCCGAAATGCTTAACATAATTCTTAACTGATACAACCAAATTCAGAAAAGCACATTTTGTGCATAATCTCACTAAATATGGGGATGAGGAGCAAGGAGACAGAGAGAGAATCGTTGTTGGATCTTCTAGGATCCGTACTTCTGGGCAGCAGTAGCAGCAGCAGGAAAAACAGCATGTGTGTGGGTAGGTGTCTGAAAGTGTAGGTGGTAAACGGCAAGTCTCTTCTCCATACAGCAAGATGTATCTTTTTCCTGATTTAACTATATCTTGGCACAACCTAGTCGACAGGTTTCCAGGGCAAA